CCATCACATGAGCATGAGCTGGCGCCTTGGTTTCTGCCTTGCCTTGTGCGATCTCGCGTGAGAACGCTGGTCTGTGGGGGGGTGAAACGTTGGCGTGGAGCACCAGAGGTGTCCTCGCGGCATCACAACAATGTTAGGAGATGGCAGCCGCGGCTAGACCTCTCGGATGCAGTAGGTCGCGGGATGTCGAGCGAGCTCCGCCAAGAAGACGGCTTCCGGTATCTGCTCTGCTCTGCGGGTACGAGCAAGGGAGTCCAACCTGAAGATCTTCTCATGGAAATATCGATATGCCACCCAGTGTGCGTTGTCCCGGTTCTGCACCGCCCCGGCAGCTGCTTCCAGATCGTGCTTGCTCACGACGGGTTGAAGGTCCATTTGCCACCTCACACGACCAAAAGCAGCCATGGCTTTGGTTTGCAGTACCTGCGCAAGCACTTCCGAGGAGTAGAAGCCACCTGGCGCCGCGTGGTCCTCTGCAGCTTCACCTCGTTCCACCCCACCTTCTTCGAGGACAACCTGCACGGCGTTGTCCATGTCCGCTTCAGTGAAGAAGGCTGCCCCCAAAGCCATGTTCAGGGCGTGCATGCCGCAGAGAGCTTGCTCTTGCGCCTCAAAATACAGGCCTGCAGGTGCGTCTTGATCGGGTCGGCTGCCTGTCCGTTGCATCTTGGCCAAAGACCCGGCCGCGCAAGAGCTTTCTGCAGCCCGTTTGCCTAGGCCCATGAAGACCAACTTTGCTTTGCATTTTGCTTTGGCCTTTGCTTTGCTTTTGGCGTTCGTCTTGGCTGGTGGCTTGGCCGGGCACTTGCGCTTATGAGCCTTGATGGCAGCTTTGGTGTTGGGAGCCTCCGTGCCGCATAGTGCACAACACCAGGGCCGCTCGATGCGCTCGCCGTGGTCTGGCTTGAGACGGTTCCAGTCGGGCGTCCCCATCTCAGCTAGTCGTCTTTCATAGAACTCCTTGTTCTGCTCCGGCTTGAACAACGCCTTCCAGAGATCCGGGCCGTCCCGGTCGGCTTGCTGCGCCTTCAGCTTGGTCAGGGCCCACTCTGCGTTGGCGTTGAACCGCAAAGCCTTGGGGTTGAAGAGCTCCAAGCTGCAGAGTGCCTGTTCGGGGCAGCGGCTCAGGGCGACGTAGGCTTGACCTTCTGCGAAGATGGTGTGATCGAGGCGGGTATGCGCTCCGTCCTTACAGGTAGCTGCCTGGCTCTTGTGGATCGAGATGGCTTTGGCGAGAACGATCGGGAATTGATGCCTCGATGCCTTGCTGCCGTCTCTGTCAAGGTACGTGGCCGAGCGCCTCGAGATTGCCACGCAGGAGGTTTCGTGCTCTGCTCGCCAAGTGGCCCCAGCATTCTTCTCGAAAGAAACCCAGATCCTCTCGACTTCCCCGCCGGCTTTCTCGGTGTCAATGTGCTCCACCGTGCCACAGGCGCCATTGACCAAGCCATCTCGCACGTCGATGTTGTATCTGAGCATGACACGGAGCCCAATGGCCACCTGCAGCAGGCCTACCAAGCCACCCGTGTTCTCCGGCTCGGCCCAGACGGCATCTGGAGACAGCGGCACACCGGTCTTGACGTTGGTGTCGACAGCTGGGCAATCGTGTAGCTGTTCTCCTGTGTTCAAGACGTGCTCTTCCTTGTAGCGGCGGTTGCTTTCGGCGACTGCTTGGCGAGTGGCGTATAGGTTCCCGGCTTTCGGGGCGGGCCGCTTCTTGCTGCCTTTCTTGATCACCATATTCCGCAGCACCTCAATGTCGGCGTCGGTCTGCTGTCCCACCCGAACGCGTGCCAGCAGAGCGGCCCAGGCTGGGTCGCGTGCGGCCCGCTGGTTTCCTTCTAACTCGCAGAGCTGGAAGAGCAGCCAAAGCCGGCTGGCGAAGGCCGGCAGCCCGCTTGGTGGAGGCAACTGATACAGGTCCCCGGCAAAGATGACGTGCAGTCCTCCGAAGGGCAGGGTTTGCAGATCTCTGGCAAGACGGAGATGCTGATCCAGACGCTCCAACATCCAGGAGGGGATGAAGCTCATCTCGTCAACGAACAGAACGCTGACCTTCGACCAGATGTCTCTGAGAGTGGCTAACTTCTGGCGGTCCGGCAGCGGCATGTCGCAGGCCTTGCCGTGGCTTTGGTTCACTACGGGGAGCAAGCAACATTGATGGAGGGTGACACCGTTGATGTTGAATGCTGCCACACCCGTGGGCGCCGCTATGATGCATCCTTTCTTGCTTTGCCGCAGGACGTGAGCTGCTGCGCGTACCACCACGGACTTGCCGCTGCCGCCGGGCCCGTGGAGGAGCATGTGCAGACGCTGAGTATTCTGCGTGTCCTTGGTGTTGGGCTGCCTCAGAACTGACTGGACGATGTGCTCCATGGCTTGGCACTGGCGCGTGGTCTCCGGGCAGGGGTTCTCAACCGTCAACATCTCGAATGATTCTTCGCCTTCCTCGACCGGCGCAAAGGCATTGAGGGCAGCTCCGGTGGGCACAGAGTCCGGGGCCAGGAAGTCGATGTCTCCTCCATACCGCTCCTTCAGTGCCTCCAATATTTGCAAGGAATCCTTGTAGTTCTCCTCGGCAACCTTGCTGTTGGCCCAGCCGTCCCGCAGGTTTGCCGGATGCATCTTGGCCTTCATGTACATCGTCGCTTGTATGGCCTGCAGCTTGCGGGCGGCGTCGACGGTGCCATCTAGCTGAGGGAAGCATCTCGACCGAAGGAAGTCTGGGTGGCCGCGCACGTCTCGGGCGATGCGCTGGAACGCTGCTGCATGGCTTCCTGCATCCTGCTCCAACAGCCAATCTCCAGGTTCCTTCCACACCAGGTGCAGCAGCAACTTGGAGTAGTAGAAAGCTTCGGCCTCCTCGTCCGGGTTGAAGTTCTGGTAGCCGACGATTGCAGGGCGCCTGCGAGGCTGTGGTTCTTGCACGCCGATGTACTTGAAAGCCGCGCAAAAGTCCAGGAAGGTGACTTCACTAAACCGACAGGAAACCGGCTCCGTGCCTTCCACTGGCAAGGTCGTCTCATGTTCACCGAAGGTGGTTTGCATTTCCCGGTACCAGTGATGAGCAACAGGCAGGTTCCCACCTTGGCGCATCTTCTTGTTGCGGTAGTCAGTGGGCTGCTGCAAGGCCACCTGTTCCTCATGCTTGGGCACCCACACTGTCCAGGTGTCTGGAGGCCCCACCTGTACCCAGACGTTGTCCCTGGAGAATTCGATGATCGGGAAGCCCAGCAGAAGGTGGCATGCCTCGAAGGTCGACGTGGTCCTGCCCTGCAACGCCGCGTGGGCTGCCTTGTAGATCTTCTGATTGTCGAGGCCGGCGCCTGCGCTCTGACTTGTTAGGATGGCAAGGATGTTTTCCATTCGCCGCTGCGCTTCGCGATCCTCCTCCGACTTGAAAGTGTAGCCCAGTATGTACCGACTGGCGCTGGTGAGCTCGCAGATGACCTGCAGGTCCATGCTTGCCCTCCACCTTCTCAAGATTCGAATGTTGTACTGTCCCATCATGCTGTCTCCCTTCACTCGTCTCGTCGCAAGGCTGCTCTTCCAGCGGCTGTTGGCGTACTGCTCCTGCGATGTTCGACGCCGAGTCCGGGGCTCTGCATCATGTGGAAATCCAAATCGACAGGCGCCTTCTGAGTACATGCCGCAATATGGCGTGTGGTTGTGCACCACCTCTGCGGACAGCTTTGCGTTCACTTCTCTATCTCTGGGTGGTACGCGGTGGGATTGGCGCCACGTGTTCGGGGACTTGGTGCAGATGTACTTGTCGCTGAGGTCCTCCGCACACTTGGGGATGAAGTTCTCCATGGCCTCTTCGTCAGACCAGTCTGGAACCGGTGTCTCTGCTGCTTGTTCGGAGTCTTCGCCGTCGGGCGCCATCTTGTCTGGCTGCTGCTTTGCTTTGGCCCACTCTTCGATCCAAAGCAGGATGTGAGCGTGGGGGTAGCCCCGCTTTTGCCATTCTATGCGAATGATGTAGTCCAACACTTTGAAAGGAGGCCGTTCCTTGCGCATGCGGCGATGAAGGCCTGCAAAATCCGTGGCGGGTGCCTGGGCGTCGTCCTCCACGTCCTCGCAGTCGTTCTCCTCGACTCCATCTTGTGGATCAGCATCTTCGTGCAGGTGGACTTTCGGACCGCGCGTGCTGGACAGCCACCACATCAGCTGAGAGACTTGGTGCATGAATTGTCGCGCTACCACTGCCGGCTGCTGGTTGCACAACTGGTTGGGCGACAACCCATCCCAAGTGAAGTTCTTGTCATTCTGGTAGCGGAATAGGATCTCCGCAGCGTGCTGCTCCAGTTCTGCCTGAGGGCGGTCGGGATGCAGCCGCAGCAGCCGTGCCGAGATAGCCGCGAGGAGCAACGCAGGCTGGCGCGCGTGGCAGGACAGTGTCATGAAGAAGTTGGGAGCGCCAAGCTGCTCGTACATGTTGAGCGCCACTCCCTTCTTGGCGTACAGGTACGGCTGCGTGCCAGGCATGTCCCGCAAGGCAGCATACACCTGACGGCTACCGTTCTCGTAGTCGCTACTGCCGTAGGGCACCCGCTGGTTGCCGATCCGGACGTTGATGTTTCCGGAAAGTCGCTTCTTGGTCTGCATCTCCAGCAGCCACATGATGTAGGCCGTGGACGCTTCGAAGCGGGAATCCAGGCTCAGCAGACGCTTCCGGGCATATTGGGAAAAGCTTCCGTTGTCGTTCTTCCAGCCTCCTGTGCCGGTGGGAAACAAGTGTGGGAAGAATTTTGCATCCATGCCATCGCTGAGGTCTGCGGATCCTCGCACTTTTCGCAAATCTTGTACGTCGGCTTTTGGGGCCTGGAATTGCTTCGGCACCAGGTATGTCATCTCGATCTCTTGGTTTGCTTCTGTTCCCGCAAGTGGGTCTGTTGGCACCGCAGCCGCAGCGGATGTCTTGTTGGCGAGGATGGCAGCCATTCTCGCCAGAGCTCTGTCCACTGCCGGGCTCCGTTGATAGAGGCAGTGCAGTTCCTTCAAGGCCTGCAAGGCCGCGTGTAGGTGCTCCAAACGCGCTGGTGATGCGGTCATGCCGTCCACGCCCTCGACCAGCACTGTACCGTCTTCTTCCAAAGTGGCGCCTTCGAGGACGTCGCAGATGAAAGGATCCTGCATGAGCACTGCGTACATGCGACCCCACTGCGCGCTCGGGCCGCCTGATGGCAGCTTGTCCAACAAGACCTGCGAGATGCGTGCCATGGCGAGGAGATGCTGCTCGATGGGTTGCAGACTTTGCAGTGCTTCTGGGATGGGGGCCGGGATTGGCAAAACCACCTTGGTGCGATTCTCGCGGCAATTCCTGCAGAGCAGCTGGCCACTTCCTTTGGCTGTTCTGCAGTGCCTCCCTGGTGTTAGAGTCTGGCACTTCTGGCACACGCGAGAAAGGCCAAATCTACTCCAGCTCCGCGCAAAAGCCAAGTAATGGGCTTGTGCCTGCTCCTGGGTCAAGGTGTCCTCGTCTGGAAAAGGGTAGCCCTGCTGCTGAATCTCCGAGGCGATGGGCCTGGGCCCTCGGCCGCCCACTCCCTCCTCTGCCTTTGCCCGCTCCCTTGCCTCACGCAGCTGTCGGCGCTCTGCTTCTTTGCTGTCTTCTTCCCGCAAAGGTCCACGGCCGCCCGCTTCCTCCTCTGACTTTGCCCGCGCCCTTGCCTCACGCAGCTGTCGGCGCTCTTCCCTTTTGCCGTCTTCTTCCCGCAAAGGTCCACGGCCGCCCGCTTCCTCCTCTGCCTTTGCCCGCTCCCTTGCCTCACGCAGCTGTCGGCGCTCTGCTTCTTTGCTGTCTTCTTCCCGCAAAGGTCCACGGCCGCCCGCTTCCTCCTCTGCCTTTGCCCGTGCCCTTGCCTCACGCAGCTGTCGGCGCTCTTCCCTTTTGCCGTCTTCTTCCCGCAAAGGTCCACGGCCGCCCGCTTCCTCCTCTGCCTTTGCCCGCGCCCTTGCCTCATGCAGCTGTCGGCGCTCTGCTTCTTTGCTGTCTTCTTCCCGCAAAGGTCCACGGCCGCCCGCTTCCTCCTCTGCCTTTGCCCGCGCCCTTGCCTCACGCAGCTGTCGGCGCTCTGCTTCTTTGCTGTCTTCTTCACGCAAAGGTCCACGGCCGCCTGCTTCCTCCTCTGCCTTTGCCCGCGCCCTTTCCTCATGCAGCTGTCGGCGCTCTGCCTTTCTGCTGTTCTCTTCGCGCAAGGGTCCACGACTGCCCGCTCCCTGCGCTGCCCGTTGTTGCTGCCAAACAATTTTCTCTGCGCTCTTCTGGGCCAGGCACTCCTCTTTTTCGGCTTGGCGGCACTGCGGATTGCTGCACCATCCCTGTCCTCTGCCGCTCCTTGTCCCGAAGCCGCACCGATGACAAGGGGCCATGGCAACGAATCCTGAATCCTCAGATTTTGCACCTAGGGGCTGTATCCGAAACACTGCAGCAGGCTCAGTGAAGCAACTTGAGAAGCCATGCTCGAGCACTTACAAAGCTGTCCTGCCTTTGCTCGCTGCTCAGTTTCTTTCTCGTGGCACACACTGGAGCTCTGCAGGCTTGTCTTGCTGAGACATAACGTACTCACATGGGCAGCTCTACGGGCCTGTGGCTTTCTCTGAGATGTAGACAACTTGCACGTGCACGACGTCGTTGCTCAAGCTGTGTTGCAGGAAAAGACTCGAACGCCCGATCCTCCCCAAACAATTTTCCAGAGGTATACAACAAGACTGCCCACTTTCGCCTTATTTATTCATCATCACCTTGTCGGTGCTTTTCCAGGACACGTATGATACTTACAAAAGTGCTTTTGGCCCTCTCCCTACGGTACTTCAGTCTGACTCCCCCCTTTGTGACATAGAAAATGCAAATGACACTGTCCTACTCTCGCGTACTCAACAGGCGCTTCACCGACTACTACATACCTTACAGTCCCTCGCTTTCAAAAGAGGCATGTCCTTAAATATGGCCGCCTGCATTTTGGCCAGCGGGCGAGGTAGCCGTTGGCCGAGTGGGGGAAAACGAAAGGAAATGGGACACGTCCTCGGAGCAAGACCATGTATCATGGCCAGTAATAGCATGCTGGGATTTGGCACTTGGCCGCAACAATTGGCACTTGGCCACGACGATTGGCACTTGGCCGCGATCGACTGTCTAAGGTTGTGACGCTTTTGAAGGCACCCTGTTATGAGCTGCAACACTGACATGACGGATGCATGCATGGGGATGACAAGTTGTGGTAATTGCATCAACACATAACAGCACACAGTGACTGATATCGGTAAAGCTTGCAGACAGCTTCGAAAACAAGTTGCAATATTTTCCATTTCCCTTGTCCGCCCCAGCTCTCAGAGTCCGTCCTAGCCCTAAGTCTGCCCGTCCCTGCCCATCCCTGCCCGTCTCTGCCCACCACGTGCAGTCTTGATTACGAATGGGCTCACACGACATGGGCGGAGCGACTCATCCTACCCAACAGTTCACGCCAGCTCCAGGTGTCTGTGATCACGCCCCCGCCCAAGACCAGCTTCGTGGTGTCGAGGGGGATGGGTCCTGCAGGACCGCTGTCCAAATCGTGAAGCAAGACTTCCCTGGCGCTGCGATATTGCAGCGTTTCCGCCGGGATAGGCTTCTTAATTTCTTGTCGTCTGAGACGTAGTTGGCGCAGGGAGAGACGGCGATCTGGGCTGTTTCCTTCGTGCAAAGTGTGCAGCCAGGCTTCCCGGAAAGACTCGCACGGTTCGACATGGCAGAGTGGATAAGGCTTCGAGGTGTGGATTTCGCTACCTTGCATGTTCAGGTACTTCACCGTCATGTTGGCGAGACGCTGGCGGTATTCATTCTGGATTTCCATTTCTTTGCTCCACTGTACTCTCTCACGCGCATCTTCCTCGGCTTCGCGCTGCATCTCACTGTCGACCCAGTCCCAGTCGTCGAACCCGTCCTCGAAGTCCGCCTGTTCGGAGTCGCGAATCGAGTGGTCTCTGCTCTCCAAGTCCTCGCACGTGTCTTCGAGCATGCTGTCGCACCAGTCGACCTGAGAAACAAGACAGCGGCCATGTTCCAAAAACGAAACGAACAGCTGCGACGATTGAGATTTGTACCCCAATGGTTGCCTGGCCGCAGCGGGACACGGATGAAGACTTTAAAACGATTCGAATTGAGCCCAAGCGCGCTGCACAAGCAACAAAAAGCACGGGAAGGCTCGGCCGTCCCTACCTTCTCACAAGCTCAAGAAAGAGGTGCAACATGGCTCAACAATGCACAGAAGAAGCGAGTAGCCCATGACCGGCCGTTTCTGTGGAATTTTGAGAGTCAGAGCGAATGAAGATTGGCGTGAAACAGATGTTCTGCCAGCGACTGCTTGTGCCGTAGCCTGCATCGCGGCAGCTTTTCTAAGAGAAGAAACGGTCCGGCCACTGGCTGCTCTTCTGGCTGCCATCGTCCGTTGATCAGGATTGCCAGATGCGTCTGCCGCGACAGTGCTTCGTGACTATGGGCTTCAGATCCCATGGCTGAGATGACGTCGCCGACCGTGACGTTCTGAAGGGCCTAGAAGCTCACAGGTCGAAACAGCATGGCAACACGGTATTTGTGGGCTTCCGGTTCATTCAGCCCAGCAGCTGTCCAGCGCACAGAGCCTGCGACGTGGCCGGCCATGGTCCGCAAATTTGCGATCGGGCCACCGTCCCACTTCAGCTCGCAGTTCAGGCCCCCCAACAGCCGCAGCGGTTGGCCATTGCAACTCGCATCAGTTGAGCTGAGAAACAAGGGATGCGAAAATGCTCTCAAGACCTTTTGCGGTGACAGAGGCTTGCGCCCGAAATGGCTGTGGATGAAGACTTAAGGCTGTTCATATTGAGCCAAAGCGCACGGTGTGAGCGGTAAACGCTGGCCCCTATTCAGGTTGAGGCAAGCAAACAGGAATTGCTGGTGTCAGGACTTTGTGTTGACTGAAGCGACTCGGCTGCACCCCATTCTGGTTGAGCATAAGCACCTGGCACATGGCCCCCATTCAGGTTGAGGACAAGCAAACGTGGTTCTCCTTCATAAAATGCACCAGCGTAAGGGTTTCCAGCTCTTGGAAGGCCTTGCCAGGTAGTTCTCTTTCATAGAATGCACCAGGATAAGGATTTCCAGCTCTTGGAAGGCCTTGCCAGGTAGTTCTCCTTCATAAATGCACCAGGATAAGGATTTCCAGCTCTTGGAAGGCCTTGCCAGGTAGTTCTCCTTCATAAAATGCACCAGAATAAGGATTTCCAGTTCTTGGAAGGCCTTGCCAGGTAGTTCTCCTTCATAAAATGCACCAGGATAAGGATTTCCAGCTCTTGGAAGGCCTTGCCTTTTCCAGCTCGCGGAAGGCCTTTCCAGGTAGCTCTTTCATAAAATGCACAAGGATAAGGATTTCCAGCTCGCGGAAGGCCTTTCCAGGTAGTTCTCCTTCATAAAATGCACCGGATAATGATTTCCAGGTCGCGGAAGGCCTTTCCAGGTAGTTCTCCTTCATAAAATGCACCAGGATAAGGATTTCCAGCTCTTGGAAGGCCTTTCCAGGTAGTTCTCCTTCATAAAATGCACCGGATAAGGATTTCCAGCTCGCGGAAGGCTTTTCCAGGTAGTTCTCCTTCATAAAATGCACCAGGATAAGCATTTCCAGCTCGCGGAAGGCCTTTCCAAGTAGTTCTTCTTCAGAAAAAAGCACCAGGATAAGGATTTCCAGCTCGCGGAAAGCCTTTCCAGGTAGTTCTCCTTCATAAAATGCACCAGGATAAGGATTTCCAGCTCGCGGAAGGCATTTCCAGGTAGTTCTCTTTCATAAAATGCACCAGGATAACGATTTCCAGCTCGCAGAAGGCCTTTCCAGGTAGTTCTCCTTCATAAAATGCACCAGGATAAGGATTTCCAGCTTGCGGAAGGCCTTTCCAGGTAGTTCTCCTTCATAAAATGCACCAGGATAAGGATTTCCCTTTCCAGGTAGTTATCCTTCATAAAATGCACCAGGATAAGGATTTCCAGCTCTTGGAAGGCCTTTCCAGGTAGTTCTCCTTCATAAAATGCACCAGGATAAGCATTTCCAGCTCGCGGAAGGCCTTTCCAAGTAGTTCTTCTTCAGAAAAAAGCACCAGGATAAGGATTTCCAGCTCGCGGAAAGCCTTTCCAGGTAGTTCTCCTTCATAAAATGCACCAGGATAAGGATTTCCAGCTCGCGGAAGGCATTTCCAGGTAGTTCTCTTTCATAAAATGCACCAGGATAAGGATTTCCAGCTCGCAGAAGGCCTTACCAGGTGGTTCTCCTTCATAAAATGCACCAGGATAAGGATTTCCAGCTCGCGGAAGGCCTTTCCAGGTAGTTCTCCTTCATAAAATGCACCAGGATAAGAGCCTTTCCAGGTAGTTCTCCTTCATAAAATGCACCAGGATAAGGATTTCCAGCTCTTGGAAGGCCTTGCCAGTTAGTTCTCCTTCATAAAATGCACCAGAATAAGGATTTCCAGTTCTTGGAAGGCCTTGCCAGGTCGTTCTCCTTCATAAAATGCACCAGGATAAGGATTTCCAGCTCTTGGAAGGCCTTGCCAGGTTGTTCTCCTTCATAAAATGCACCAGGATAAGGATTTCCAGCTCTTGGAAGGCCTTGCCAGGTAGTTCTCCTTCATAAAATGCACCAGGATAAGGGTTTCCAGCTCTTGCAAGGCCTTGCCAGGTAGTTCTCCTTCATAAAATGCACCAGGATAAGGATTTCCAGCTCTTGGACGAGGTAGTTCTCCTTCATAAAATGCACCAGGATAAGGATTTCCAGCTCTTGGAAGGCCTTGCCAGGTAGTTCTCCTTCATAAAATGCACCAGGATAAGGATTTCCAGCTCTTGGAAGGCTGCCAGGTAGTTCTCCTTCATAAAATGCACCAGGATAAGGATTTCCAGCTCTTGGAAGGCCTTGCCAGGTAGTTCTCCTTCATAAAATGCACCAGGATAAGGATTTCCAGCTCTTGGAAGGCCTTGCCAGGTAGTTCTCCTTCATAAAATGCACCAGGATAAGGATTTCCAGCTCTTGGAAGCAGCTTTGCAGCCGAGTCGCCCGGGATTCTCCTTAATTGGTTGGCTATAAGCTTACCAGCTGAGATTTGCAGCCGAGTCGCCTGGGATTCTCCTTAATTGGTTGGCGAGAAGCTTTCCAGCTGGGATTTGCAGCCGAGTCGCCTGGGATTCTCTTCATTGGTTGGCGATAAGCTTTTCAGCTGAGATTTGCAGCCGAGTCGCCCGGGATTCTCCTTAATTGGTTGGCGATAAGCTTTCCAGCTGAGATTTGCAGCCGAGTCGCCTGGGATTCTCCTTAATTGGTTGGCGATAAGCTTTCCAGCTGAGATTTGCAGCCGAGTCGCCTGGGATTCTCCTTAATTGGTTGGCGATAACTTTCCAGCTGGGATTTGCAGCCGAGTCGCCTGGGATTCTCCTTAATTGGTTGGCGAGAAGCTTTCCAGCTTTGCAGCCGAGTCGCCCGGGATTCTCGTTAATTGGTTGGCGATAAGCTTTCCAGCTTTGCAGCCGAGTCGGCCGGGATTCTCCTTAATTGGTTGGCGATAAGCTTTCCAGCTGGGATTTGCAGCCGAGTCGCCTGGGATTCTCCTTAATTGGTTGGCGCTAAGCTTTCCAGCTTTGCAGAGTCGCCCGGGATTCTCCTTAATTGGTTGGCGATCAGCTTTCCAGCTTTGCAGCCGAGTCGCCCGGGATTCTCCTTAATTGGTTGGCGATAAGCTTTCCAGCTTTGCAGCCGAGTCGCCCGGGATTCTCCTTAATTGGTTGGCGATAAGCTTTCCAGCTTTGCAGCCGAGTCGCCCGGGATTCTCCTTAATTGGTTGGCGATAAGCTTTCCAGCTGGGATTTGCAGCCGAGTCGCCCGGGATTCTCCTTAATTGGTTGGCGATAAGCTTTCCAGCTTTGCAGCCGAGTCGCCCGGGATTCTCCTTAATTGGTTGGCGATAAGCTTTCCAGCTGGGATTTGCAGCCGAGTCGCCCGGGATTCTCCTTAATTGGTTGGCGATAAGCTTTCCAGCTTTGCAGCCGAGTCGCCTGGGATTCTCCTTAATTGGTTGGCGATAAGCTTTCTAGCTTTGCAGCCGAGTCGCCTGGGATTCTCCGTAATTGGTTGGCGATAATCTTTTCAGCTTTGCAGCCGAGTCGCCCGGGATTCTCCTCAATTGGTTGGCGATAAGCTTTCCAGCTGGGATTTGCAGCCGAGTCGCCCGGGATTCTCCTTAATTGGTTGGCGATAAGCTTTCCAGCTTTGCAGCCGAGTCGCCCGGGATTCTCCTTAATTGGTTGGCGATAAGCTTTCCAGCTGGGATTTGCAGCCGAGTCGCCTGGGATTCTCCTTAATTGGTTGGCGATAAGCTTTCTAGCTTTGCAGCCGAGTCGCCTGGGATTCTCCTTAATTGGTTGACGATAAGCTTTCCAGCTGGGATGTGCAGCCGAGTCGCCCGGGATTCTCCTTAATTGGTTGGCGATCCTGGCAGTTTTCCTTCATAAATTGCACCAGGATAAGAGGCCTTTCCAGGTAGTTCTCCCTCGTGAAATGCACCAAGAAGGCCTTTCCAGGTAGTTCTCCTTCATGAAATGCACCAGGATAAGGATTTCCAGCTCTTTGAAGGCCTTTCCAAATAATTCTCCTTCATAAAATGCACCAGGATAAGGATTTCCAGCTCTTTGAAGGCATTTCCAGGTAGTTCTCCTTCGCAAAAAAAGCACCAGGATTTCCAGCTATTTGAAGACAGGATAAGGATTTCCAGCTTTTTTTTCAAGGCCTTTCCATGTAGATGTGATCAGAATGCAGCGTGTTCCCTTCCCTAATTGGGTCGGGATGTGATCAGGGCCGCGCAACCAAGGTAGCCCTGCATTCCCCTCTCTAGTTGGGTCGGGATGTGATCAGGGCCTGTAAATGCAGGCACAGAGCCTTGCGTTCCCCTCCCTAGTTGGGTCGGGATGTGATCAGGGCCGGTAAATGCAGCCAAGGAGCCTTGGTCAGGATGTGATCAGGGCCTGTGTGAATGCAGTCAAGGTATTTGCCTCCTTAATTGGGTCGGGATGTGATCAGGGCCTGTGTGAATGCAGCCAAAGAGCCTTGTATTTGCCTTTAATTGGGTCGGGATGTGATCAGGGCCTTTGTAACTGCTCCCAAGGAGCCTTTGCGTTCCCTTCCCTAACTGGGTCAGGATGTGATCAGGGCCTGTGTAAATGCAGCCAAGGAGCCTTGCATTCCCTCCCTGACTGGGTCGGATGTGATCAGGGCCTGCGTGAACGCAGCCAAGGAGCCTTGGCCTCCCTAATTGGGTAGGGATGTGATCAGGGCCTGTGTATGAAGCCAAGGAGCCTTGTGTTCCCTTCAGGGTGTGAGCAGGACCTGTGCAGATGCAGCCAAGGAGCCTTGCATTCCCCTCCCTAATTGGGTCGGGATGTGATCAGGGCCTGTAAATGCAGGCACAGAGCCTTGTGTTCCCCTGCCTAGTTCGGTCGGGATGTGATCAGGGCCGGTAAATGCAGCCAAGGAGCCTTGCGCTGCGCTCTCTTCTCTAAAGAATGCTCAGTGATAAGCAATCTCAGGTGCTTTTTGGGATGTCCCTCAGGGCTGTAAACACCTGACCTTTGCCCTCTTGGTACTTGGTCTTCCC